TTTGCCCTCGATAACAACATTAATTTATGATGATCGTAAATTAAGTAATATAACTATAATAAATTTATAATATTTTTGTTACATAATATTAGAAGTTGGAATTTACTGATTTTGGAAGCCTATTAATAATAATCTTCTTAACACCTAATTTAGAAAAGCATTGATAAAACATTTTTTGAACAACGAATGTAGGGTATGGTTATTCTTCCGTTATGAAATATTCTTTGAAATCTAATTTAGTAAGAACAATTATTCACTTTAAATCAACAATAATATATACTTAGTCATTTATTATACATCTGAAAAATGCTTCCACTTATGAAAATTGTAGTTTGGAGATTCCTTCTCCAAATTATATATATTATATTTTAAACTAGGGACATTTTGAAAATTTTCAAGTGGGTATACATTTAGGTCCCATTTAACTTACGTCCAATGAACAAGCCTTACATTAAATCTTCTAAAACTAAGATTTCAACAAAAAAAAAAAAAAGATCCAGCTCTAATCTTGGGACAAAACATAAATAATAGATAACTAAATGAAACTTTCTTGAGAACTTGCTCTAAAATATTAAGAATGTAAATACTAGGGAAGAAAGTTTGATATGATCCTATRTATTCGTGGAGGTTCCGTAAATATTCTATCTCAAAAAGAGAAATCTTGAAACAATTGAGATTTTTTTTTAGATTAGATGCGGTTACCAATTTATCAATGGGTATTAGGCATAAAAATTTGGATATTTGYAGACGAGCAATAATAAGCCCTTTATTGCTTGGCTTTTCACCTTTTATCTTGATCCAACTTTCATTGAGACCTACTTAGTGTTGGGAAAAGACACCCTATGCAGTACATCTAATCCTCTAACACAAGCTACTCAACATGATCTAACTAGGATATTTCCTCTTCCACAGCTGCGAGGAAGTCATACTTTGAATCAATGCAATAGAGAAAATACAAGTAAACAGAAACAACATAGAGATTTATATGCATTCTACCATGATTGAGAATGATAGAATGAGCCTCACAACGCTCTACAATCACTCTCTAGATGTTACAACAATAGTTACCTAACTTCTAAATACTTTGACAATAGTTACGGAATATAGAATAAAAAATCTCACCAACCTCACGATAACGGTCTACCTACTACACCCAACAGACCAACATTCTCCCATTTTCGTCTTCCACAGTTTCTAATTATTTTTACTTCATATGTCTGTGCAAAAGGAAGGCGGTGCATGACACCTTGCTCAAGAAGAAAGAAATTAGGTTTGGGCTTTAGTAGTGTTTCTTGGCCCAATACCTTTTACTTATTTTTTCCCTTTTTTTAACATTTTTGCCTCTACATAAATTTTGAGTTGTTGTGATGCTAATAGACGATAAAACACTGTTCAAATTTTAATAAAAACGTCACGAAAGGTAAAAAAACACGTTTTTGGAGGAAAAAAACGGAGTGTTTGTGTTTGTGTTGGGTTATTATATCCAAGTGTTTGTGTTTGACTCAATATATTCCTCCTTCCTTCCAAACTTTCTATTCAAGTTAGGAAAATGTGAGCACCTTCTATAGATGAGTGCAGCTCTAAAATCCATATAAGTAAAAGTAGATCGGATGTCCTTATTAGTGCAGTCGCAATGTCAATATATAGCGTAGTTGCAAGACTTTCTTTCCTTAGCTAATTCTTTTTTTTTAATTGAATGAAATTATATGGTTTTGACTTTCTTTTTTTATTAAAAAAAATACTATGTCTTCTATTCTCCCTTCAATCAAATATGAATAGTATGGCCATCAAATTTCAATGAAAGTTTTCTTTTGGACAGCTATTCACAGTTGGATCTCGTCGATACAGTCCCGTAGTTTTAATTACCGAGATATACATCTATTACGATGTTTCCAAATATTTTTTGCCAGTCAAATTTAAACTCAACTCATCCATTTTGTATTAAACATTATTTTATTGTCAATTGAATGCACACGAGAATATCATTTTTAACTACTCTTTAAATGAAAGCATAAAAATGTACCACTTATTCAAGTTTAAAGTCTGAATACAACCATTATCCAAAGTTATAATTATCAATATTTTATGATTTGTTATGATGACTCAAGCAATCAATAATTTACTAAATATAGCATTTGTGAAAATAATAATAATAATGCAGTGTTTATTGTAATATTTACCCAACATAAAGTAAGAAGATTTGAATGTATCCCATGTCCGCCCCAACCACTAGTATTATCTTCTTATTTGCATTCATATATATGTAAACGGAAAGATTCACCGTGTTTCTTGTTTCTATTTCATCATTTTTAATTCAGAAAAATAGAATTCCATAGCCCCAACACCTATAGATTCAATAATGATAAAACAAAATTTTTGTTTATATTGTTGCATTATAAATATGCCTGCTTTGTATGTGTGTAAAGTTCGAATCTCCACCTCATAAATATACTTAAATAGGTATGTAATACATATTAATGGTTAATTAGTTCGTTTAAATGGGTCTTAATGGGCCCTAGCTAGAAGAAACTAGGCCAGGTATATTATTTGATAGCTTAAAATATTAATAATTTTTCAATTTTATTTCTAGCATTTTGGAAGTTTTAGTTTTTCTCCTCAAGGTATTGAAATTCTTAGTTAAGTCTTAGTAATGGTACTGAAATTGAATAATCAAATTGTGATCTGATATGTACAAATATATTATTTTATGTACGTAAAATTTTTAAAGGCTAAAAAAAACATTTTTAAAGGTCAAATATCCCACCTTATAACCCTATCAATTAAGAAACTAAATTATCATTGATTTCGAATTTGTTCAATTATCGGTTGAGCTTCATTTTCTTATTCATCCATTCCCAAAATCAGGTTGAAAATAATAAATGAATTGTTTTCAAAAAATCCTACCAAGTAATTAACAAGTTGTATTTCTTTCAAATTAACACGTGTCAAATTGGCAGGACTATGTGTGTAAATATATGCTAATGTTAAGGATCCCACATTGAAAAGAAAAGGAATATTGTATAGGTTTATAATATACATAGGCTACTCCTCTCATTACCAATTTGTTTTGACATGAAATCCCATGAATATTGATAGCTAAYCCATAGCTCAACTAGTTAAGATAAATATTATCGATCAGAAGATCGTGAGTTCGAATTCCGACCATACATGTTTGTTGTATTAAAAAGAAATATTAGTTAAATTCATATACTTATTAATTATATTATATAAATGATTATTTGGTCCAACTATATATTAATATAGCCAAATAATTAGGTATGAAATGATGAAGGATTAGATTAAGGACCATCCTTAAGCCAAACCTATTAGCTATCGAAATGGAGAATTACCTTTTAACTGCATGTTTGGGTCCATGAAAAATAGAGTATAATTATAATATAATTATTTGGAATAAACTTTGCTAGCTAATTTTTGAAAATAAACCGGAAAATATTAATTGTTTTTTGATGCGCCAAATAATATAACTGTTTTATTAATTTCGACCTAATCAACTTGTTTTTTTTTTCTCTCTTTTTTAAGTACCAATCAATTTGCTTTTCATTTCAACAAGAAAAAACTAATTACTTAAATATATGATGTAAATTAATTATTATTTACAACATAAGGTACAAAATAAAGTCGATGGTTCCTTCTCTAATTTTGTAATAGTTAAACTCAAATAAATAAATAAACAATAAAAATAAAAACTATAGGTTACTAACTTACTATCTTTTTTTTTTTTTTTTTTGCTTTGAGTTTAACTATTACAAAATTGGAAAATAGGACCATCAACTTTTGAGACGAAGAAATGTCTTATGATTTATTGAGCAGTATTTATAATTTAATAATTAGTATTAAGATGAATTTATGTAATCCTATTTTAATTAATCTATTTTTTATGAATATAATATAATTTAATATTCCCATTTTTAATTTAGTGACCTGAAGAAATTGACATAATTAATCCTATTTTTTTAAAAAAATATTTTTCTAATAAGATAACTAATTCAAGAAGACAAAAGAAAAGATATAGGGATAGAGAGATACACATCCACAATAATCACTAAATGTTTTATCAATGCTTTTTTAAATTAGTAGGATAAATGAACGAACTTCAAAATATAAGCTATTACGTACTATATATATATGCTCGTTTTGGTACATTATTAAGATTCATTCAAAGTAGTAAAAAGAAAAATTAATATGATTTCAAAATCATTAAATTCTAACTTCTGATATTATCAATAAAAATATACTAAACTGTTCTAATTTTTTTTTTTAAGTATTGTAAATTTTCTGTATATCAATTACTTAATTTACAGTTTCCATAAATCAATGCTAATGATTAATTCTCTGTCAAAGAAAAAAAATGCTAATGGTTGAATCTGGTCGCTTGGTGGCTCATGAGATTGCAAAGAGAGCCAGAGATGGAGAAGATTTTGTCCTTTGAAAGTGTGAGGGGGAGGGAGATATGCCATCGTGGTTGTTCAACCTTCTTTTGGAACTCTCTAATATTTAATTTGTGTTTCTTTTCTCTGTCTTCTTTTATTAAAAAAAAAATTAACTACAATTAATGATTTAGAGATCTACTTTTTTATAGAATAAATTACTCCCATTCAATTCTTTTTTCAAAATTTTTTAATATACTACATTACGTGTTAAGGGGAATGAGAGTTGAAATTACCCCATTTCATGCATTTCCGTAAGTGATTTTTCTTTTTAATTCAATAACATGTTCCGTTATAGAGGTGGAAATTCGAATATCTGATTTTTGAACTCGAAAAATATCTATTTTAACTAGTTTAACTATATTTAGATTGATACAAGTGGAGGTACTAAAAAGATATAATACATATATTATATAAATATCAAGAAATTTGAAATGGATAATATTTTCCACTTAGATGATGAGCCTTAAATTATTATTACATTTTGACTTAAAATTGCACTATAAATACGAACGCTAAAAGAGTTGGTGAAGCCTAAAGGAGAGCAAGCCCATGGTAATGGACGCATCGAAGGAACCGAAGATAATTGTGAAGTCTCCAATGTCATTTGGGAGGAGAAAATGGACCAAGATGGATAAGACAAATGCTTGCATTCTCCTCTTTTTGCATGTGCTTTGTATTTTTGCACCTTTTCAGTTCAATTGGAGTGCATTTTGGATTGCTTTTGCATTATATATTATTACAGGTCTCTTCGGTATCACTATTTCGTATCACCGAAATCTTTCACATAGAAGTTTCAAGCTCCCTAAATGGCTTGAATACTTATTTGCTTACTGTGGAGTTCAATCACTTCAGGTTGGACATTCAACGTCTTGTACTTTTGCTATTATAATGTCAAATAATTAGTATTAGGATGAATTTACAAATTGATTGGTAAACCCTAAAAAACCTGTCAAGATATTTATTATCTTTTAAAAAAAATTATTGTTTTATTGTTCTATTTATTTATTTTTTTTTCATGCTAGGGCGATCCAATTTATTGGGTGAGCACCCATAGGTATCATCATCAATTTGTTGATACTGAAAAAGACCCACACAGTCCTATTCAAGGGTTTTGGTTTAGTTATATTTTTTGGATTTTTGATTCCAATACTTTAACAAATAAAATGAGTAATTTTCAAGAGAGACCAGATAGAAGTACATCCGTGATGATTATGAAGCACAATAGACTCGATAATGTTGGTGACTTGAAGAARCAAACGTTCTATACATTTATCCACAATACATATATTCTACATCCAATTGCTCTTGCAGTCATACTCTATGCTGGTGGAGGAATTCCTTTTCTGATATGGGGAATGGTAAAATAAAATCCTTTTTAACTTCTAGTCTTTGAATCATCCACAGAAGATTTATTTAGGTAGGTTACCATAATTTGAATAATAAGACTTTAATAAATTAGTTGTAATTTAATTAAATAAGACTACTCCATCTCATAATGGTATTGTTATTATTATTATTTCTAATTATGTTTGTTTATTTAATAATTTTATTTGTTTATAGGGAAATAGGAAATGAACAAATTCAAATAAAACAATATATATTTTCTTGAAATACGATTTTACATTTTGTTTTTGGAACTAATAATATAGAAGAGGGTTATTAAAGCTATTGAGCAAGAAAAATATGACATATGGTACCTTTTGACAAGCAGTGTGTGAGAAGTGTAATGCTTTTACATGCAACATATTTGGTGAATTCAATATGTCATTTATGGGGAAAACAACCATGGAAAACAGGCGATTTGTCTAGAAATAATTGGTAAGTATGTCTTTCTTTACGTCCAAATAGATGAAAATTGAATTAGTTTATTGTGCTTTTAATGATTTTTTTCTTCCACTGTAACAATATTTTTAGATGGCAAATTTGATCGAATGACTTCTAGGTTAATGTAAAAAATGATGGATTTTTTCATTTTTTAGTACAACAAATAGGATAGGAGATTCAAACTCATAACCTGATGAGAGATAATTGTAATTATCGTAGAGCTAAGCTCAAAAAAAAAAGAAGAAAGAAGATAGAATTTATTTAGAACTTTAATATATTAAATATTTTCATTATTTATCATAGTACCAATCATATTATCAACCATACATATTTATATGTATATATTAAAGATACCAGCATATTTTATATATCAACGAATTTATATACGTAAATTTTAACTTTATATATAAAATATATATTAGTACAACATGTAGAAGTAGGGATTCGAACTCACGATCGTTTGGTTGGAGATAAGTGTCTTAACTAGTTGATCTATGTTTGAGTTAGCTAAATTTTTAGCTAATAAGTGTTTAAATTAATGTCAGTTTGATTATTTTGTAATTAAATTAAAGACGCGATTATTTTAATTAAAAGGAACCCATGAATCTTGATTGGAATCATATGTTCAAATATATAACATTTTCCTTCTCCTTGGAAGATATACAGCAAATATAATTGAATAACTATTGAATTTTATATTGATTGAGTAATCAATTGTTTATGTAACAATAGTATTATATTTTTACGTCTATTATATATAATTTTTGGATCCTTCATAGGTTGATAAATTTGATTGCATTTGGAGAAGGTTGGCACAATAACCACCATGCTTTTGAATATTCCGCTAGGATGGGCTTTGAATGGTGGCAGTTTGACCCGGGTTGGTATGTTGTTATATTTCTTCAAGCCATTGGATTGGCCACTCAAGTAAAATTACCCTCTCAAAGCCACAAGCAAAAAATGGCTAAGCAGTAGAAACTTAACTAAAAGAAGTTTTCCTTCACTGATCTTTTACATGGAAATAATGATGCTTTTTGCCAATATAAATTATTTGGTATAATTATAGTAAAAACTTTATGCATCAAAATGTCTTCTTTTGATTTTTTACTTGTACTTTTGGAAATAAGAATGTAGCGACTCGTTGAGAATCTCATTTTGACATATTTTGATAGTGGAGCAAGGATCTCACGTTGAAAATATTACAAATACATTAAGTACTAATATGAATTCTAATTGGTTTTGGGATAGAATTTTATGAGTATTAAAGATGGTATCAAACTCCAATAACCTCAAACGAATATCCGGTCCTTAAAAGAGAAAAAAAAAAAAAATCTGTCAAAGGATTGGTGGGCTCAAACGAATATCCGATCCTTAAAAGAGAAAAAAAAAATCTGTCAAAGGATTGGTGGGCCTCCAAAAGAGACCATCTTGAGAGACATCTATTGAGAAGCCTAAGTCGAAGAGATCAACATACTCAATTTTTTGAAAAATTAATAATAGCAAAGTATATATATGGGATATAAAAGATACTTGATATTTTTATTACTCTTGCAAGTAGTAAATAACGCTTAAAATGTGTGGAAATTGCTTTTCTGGATTTTCAATTCTCAACAATGAAAAATTTAGAATTTTACTAAAGAAGAAGAATCAATGAACAATATATGAAGGTATAAAAAAGTCGAGACAACAACTTTTAAGCTTAAAAATAAGGAGGAAGCACTTTGATTTTCGTACTATTTTTTGACCGATTGCTCGTTTGAGCTTTTGGACTCTCATACCATATTAATATTCACGGGGTTCCATCTCAAAATCAATTGACAATGAGAGGAGTAGCTCATGTCTATTATAAATCATTGTCAGGTCCCCTCTCTTTTCAATGTGGAATTCTTGACATGCCCCCTAACTATTAAGTCTATGGTGCTTCAGAATATGCCTAATTTTTAATTGCTCCTATCAATGAAAATATAAATACATTACTAATGAGTTTACATTTTAGGACGTTTTTAATTATGATTTATTACTTTAGCTTGATCATTTCATAATGTGATTTTTAATGAAATTTAAACATCAGCCACTTAAACATAACTTTTAAAAGAATAAGTGTTGTTTCAGAAAATCGGCTCCTTGGAATTCCTCCAAATTTGCATCAATCTTCTAAATAGGAAAGGGATCGATGTGACATGCAAAATAAAATAACCCTAAGATAGGTGTAGCTCCTGCCACACAGGCTCCAATGCTTAAGTTAGTATCGAAGTAGTCGAGTGTAGAGAGTAGGGTATTTAGGCGTAGCAAATAGTATAGAAGAGTACCACAACTATGAGTATTTTCTTTCTATTTATACAGGGAAAAACCTAGTATCACTAGAATATTTTATCCGAACAATCGTGAGGCCATCAGTATATCTTTTTCCTTTTGAATATAGATATCTTCTCCTGTATCTTAAGGTCATCAGATATCTTCTCTCTTTTTGAATTTAAGGGGATTTGAATGGTAGAAAATAGGGATTTTCTCATCCATTACATTAGCCCCCACTCTCAAAGTTGAAGATCACGAGTTATTCAAAATGTTAGACTTCTGCTTAGAGACTATTTTGTCGTTCATGGATTGACTATTATTATAGAATAATCGCTATATCCTTTTGTCGTAGTTCATTGTAGTTGGCTGTAGTCAAGTCTTTTAGCCTCTGTCATACGGTTAGTTTTAACCATTAGATTTTGGCCTTAGGATCTAACTTTCAACAGGACCAATGTACTTGGTTTCTAACCTATTTGGTTTTTGCCCATGGTTTTATACTTTAGGGTTTACTCTCAGGTTTGTAACCTAGCTATTTGGCTTTTGTCAATAGTTTTATACCTTGAGTTTAGTTGGCACCCTTAGGTTTCAAACCTATTTGGCTTTTGTTGGTTTTTTACCTGAGTTTAATCAATACCCTTCGGTTTCCAACCTATTTTGACTTTTGCCAAATTATTTTATACTCTGAATTTCGTTGATTGGTTTGGCATGCCTACTTTTTGTTTAACCTTGTTGAGCCTGTACGCATGACTTTCAGCACATTTAGGATTATTTTCCCCGATTTCACTGACTGGCTTTTAGCTTATCGGTATGCTTAGGGGTGAGCATCGGTCGGTCGGGGTCGGTTTTCGGCCGACCCCGACGCCGAAACCGACCAAGTCGGTTTCCATATTTGGAAACCGACATCTCCGTTCCTATGGATTGCGCCGACCGGCCGACCGACCGGTTCGGTCGGTTTGTCGGTTTAACCGAATTTTTTTCTTTTTTCTTTTACTGTATCCTTTTGGTTTTTTTTTCATTATTCACGTTTGTAGTGCATATTCATGTACTTTATAATTTTCATTTTGTCAATTTTCATTACTATTTTAGTATTTCTATTCAAATCTTCAACAAATGTCCAAATGCGAACATAACATCTCAATATCTCATAATCCAAATTTGCAACAAAAATCGGAATAGAAATATAAAACACAAAAGTCCAAATACAAACATAACATCTCAATGTCTCAGTCAAATTTTTAACCAAAGTCCAAAAACAAACCCAACAAAAGTCCAAATAACAAATATAAAACATACAAGTTAAAATACAAAAACAAATGGCAAATATAAAACATAAAAGTCCAAATACAATGTTCATTAACGAATTGATATCTTTGGAAAATCTTGAAGCTCGTCCAAGTCCTTTTCTCCATCCATGACATCTCTGAATCCTACAAAATTAGAAGAGGAACAAAAGTAGAGAGTATAGTTAGGATAAAAAAAAGAAAAAATATTAAGAGAAAAAAGGTAGAATCAATACCTTCTTCAAACATTACATCCTCCAAGTGTTCCGGAACTACGAGATTTATAGGGTCAGAATTTAACCAATTTTGGGTGCATATAAGAGCCTCTACTGTTTTGGGAGCCAATGAACAACGATAGCTATCGACTACACGTCCTCCAGTACTGAAAGCCGACTCAGATGCTACAGTAGATACTGGAATTGCCAAAATATCTCTACTCATTTGATTGAGTATTGGAAATCGAGGACCATTATCCTTCCACCAGCGAAGTATGTTGAAGTTGACATTCTCCTCTATCTTAACCAGAGCTTCCAACAAATACACAACAATCTCAGACTCACTATTAAAAGATGTATTCTCTTCAGTTGAGAACTCTCCTATTAAATTCTTTCCTTCATCAAAATCAAATTCCATGTCCATATCTTAGTCCATATTGGTATCAATAATAGTAGAAGTAGTAGTGGATTTAATACTACTAGCCCTACGAGTAGGAGAAATAGTAGTACCACTAGAAGAAGCACTAAAACTACTATATTGATGAAGCAGACGTCTCAAAACATGCTCCACTTTTTCTATCATATATTTAGACACATAGGGACCCAACTTATTGAAACAATATGACAAGTACTTCAACTTATATCTTGGATCCAACACAACAGCAACATACAGTAATACATTCGTCATCTCACTACTTCCCCAATACTTATCAAATTTTCCTGCATGCTCTTAGCCATTTTATTTAGCATTTCATTGCCTTTATTCACACAATTACTTTGTATGCAATTCTGAACCATGCTAATCTGATGATAAATCAAATTAGAGGTAGTATACAAAGAGCCAGAAATATTCACAGTAGCTTCATAAAAGACTTTCAGGAAAGAAACCAACATTTTTGCATTCAACCAATCTTCTTTACTAGGCCGTAAATCTTTCGTGTAGGCAGRTKCTTCATCCTCTAATCTCTCAAAAGCCTTTCGAAGTTTGCAAGCGGCCTCAAGCATCATATAAGTAGAATTCCATCTTGTTACAATGTCAAGGCATACAGAAGACTTACAAGGAATCTTTTCAATTTCAACAGACTTCCTAAATGATCTTAAACGTCCAGGAGAAGACCTCACAAATCTTACAGCACTTCGAATATTTTCTATGCAAGTATAATGTTCTTTCAAAGCTTCGCAAACAATAAGATTCAATATGTGCGCACAACATCTAACATGCAAATAATCACCATTAAACAACAAACCATGACTGAATCTCTTGATAAGATAAGCGACGGCAGTATCATTGGAACTAGCATTATCAACAGTCAGAGT